AACCAAAATGTATGAAGAACATTGACCAGCCTTAGGAATCCGCAATGTTGCCCCGTTCTCCCAACAACCGGTTCATTCACACAGGATGAATGTAGGCGCAGATTCACAGGATGAATATCTATTCATTATTTTTTAAATAGACCTCTAAGGGAGAATAACGGAATTTATTAAAAGGAGAATAATGGAGAGGGTGAAATACACTCATCCCCATAGATAGAGCGGACACAGGACACTAAAGCTGTGACAGGTCGGCTCTATTGGCTGAGAACTGAGCGATCACAAACTACTGATTGCTCAGTTCCCGATCATCAGTGACTGTTAATCACTACAGCCTCCCCCCTCTCTCTCTCAGGGGAGGGGGTGGGCACAACAGGCTCTGGTTCTAGAAAGGAAGGAGAGCCGGCTGTCAATCATCCAGCAGGGTGGTCTCTGACAATATTGTCGTGGCTCCATCCCTTTGGTAGCGCTCTCAGCATACAGCGGGCCATAGTCCCCTATATGCAGTGGCGACTCTAGGAACAATATATAGGGGGGGCACATAAGATACCACAGTCACAACTGGGGGCGCACTAGTAATTTTCACCACTAAATCATACCTGTCACTGTCATTAAAATGGGTCTGTCATCCACACCGCACATTACTATGTTTTGTTGCTTTAGAGCTTTGTGATACACATGATCCAGGCACAGTGTGAGGGATCGAGTGCCTCAGACTTAAAAGGATATTTAAACCCTCCCGTTTTTTTGCATATATCTCCTACTAGCAAGCAGGAGATATATGCAAAAAGTTTTTTTTTTAAACAAAAACGCTCAAACAGCGGTTTAGACTCACCTGTGTTCCGTGCGCGGTCCCGTGCCGAAAATGAGAAATGTATCGAGCGGCCGCAAAGGATCTTGGGGCACGCACATCTCTCATTTTCGGCCGGGACGCGACGAGGGACGCAAGGTAAGTCTATGGACGCGTGCACCCGCATGCAGACACCGCTGGATCGGAGGGACAGAGGAGTCAGCGCTGGACGGAGAGCCACCGCACCGCTGGAGAGAAGGCTGAAAACATCAGGAAAAAGAAGATCGGAAAAAAGAGATATCATTTAAGGTAAGTGCTGACACTAACATTGGGGGGAGGGAAACATTTTTTTGCCTTTAATGTCACTTTAAAGGGTTATCAAACGCTCACTTTTTTTTGCATATATCTACTGCTAGCAAGCAGTAGATATATGCAGAACCATTCAAAAAACAAAAAAAAACAAAAACTTTTGCAAAGGGTTCATACTTACATGCGTCTCCACGGCGCGCACCCGTCCGAACATCTGAAAATTTCTTGGGTGTTCGCAAAAGATCTTGGGGCGGGCGCATGCGCAGTTCAGATGTTTGGCGAGGAGGAGAGACACAAGGTAAGTATATGGAGAAGTGTGCAGCCGCACAGACTCCATGGGACATCAGAGAAGAGAAGGACAGAGTAGTCAGTGCTGAAGAGAAGGCTGAAAACTACAGGAAAGAAGAAGATGATCGGATTAAGAGGCATCATTTAAAGCAAGTCCTTACACTAACATTGGGGGAGGGGAAAATGATCCTTTAATATCACTTTTCCTGACTACAGTGCACCCAGTGGCAAACCTAAGGGACAAAGGGCCCGGCTTCCTGATTGGCCCTCCCAAGCTAATTATGAGTAAAGAATAAGGCCTGGTTCACACCTACATGTCCCGCGAACATGCATTTGCCGCGCTGCTCCAATAATTTCAGTGGTCATATCTGCGTGGCATCTAGAAGATATGATGTCCGCACACCATTCTGCTTCGGAATGTCCTTTTTATTTGTATTCCTTTAGCATGACATGTGCATGCTAAAGGAATACACATTTGCATTCACATGTCATGCTAAAGGAATACAAATAAAAAGGACATTCCGAAGCAGAATGGTGTGCGGACAAAAATTGGGTAATAATAAATGTTTTATCATTTAATATAGGGGAAACTGTTTTCTTCTTTTTTTTTTTGTTTTGGTAATTTTTCCTTAATAAAAATAAATATAAATACCACCATAAGAAAGCTCTATCTATCCCCAAAAAATGGTATAAAATGTATTTCAGTACAGCGCTGCATGACGGAATAAACGTCAGTCAAAGTACCGCAGAATATGCTG